TATGTATGTATGTATGTATGTATGTATGTATGTATGTATGTATGTATATACATATAGCGCAGGCTCATTGGGATCTGTTTGCTGTTTCATTTGGTGGTCGTAGGTTTCATAATGCAGGGTTTTGAACTACTGTACAGTTAGTCTTTGATCTTTTATCTTTCATGTAGCGCTGCCCACATATTAAAGCATTTTTGGTGTGGGCGACACATGCCACTGAACTTCTCTTTTTACGACTGGGGATTCATTCTTCGTGGTGCTGCTCGGATATTCGCACTATAATTCAAGGCCGTTTTCTGTGGCCATTTTGATGTGTGTACTGAAATATACTCAGCAGGTGACAGGCAAACATATGCCTGAAATGCCATGGGGTCCTGAAGCCGGATCATCTCCAAAGGCTAACTGGCAGGTCTAAGTAGGGACGGCATTAATACATATTATTCACAAAGAGCATGATTGAACAGAAAAATGTGCCCTGCGTGTACCCAGCTGCTTTGTTGGCACACAGTTCAGCCTCTGCCCGGGTTTCAAGACTGAGCTTGGATTTAGCCATGCATTCATTGAATTCCCCATGCAGCTCTTATTCATTCATCCAGGCACAGGCTGGGCTGCACCAACAAACTGCTGTCTGTGTGTGTGAGAAGGGCTGAGTTCACTTGTGTCAGTTCCTCGATAGTCTTATAAATTACAGCAAATTCAGAATTTTAACAAGTATATACGGTAAATATCCAGACGCTCACTGGATGTGGAATAAAAAGGCCTCTGTATGAGTGTTAAATAATGCAGGTGCTTGCACTGTGGCGGTTAAACACAATGAGTCTCTCAGCAATATGAAGCCCCTGACCTTTACTTCTCTGCTCACTTGCTGTTGTGGCAGCCCTCCGAGGGTTCGTATTCATCACAGCAAGCAGACTCATATTTTTACATTTTTCATTTTCCTTTAATTCATTCCCCAGATCCGTTTTGACATGTCTTGGCTCAAGCAGACCACAACTGAACACATGCTTCCTGTTTGCAACCAGACACAGCAAGAGGTGCTCCATCGATGTTCTCACCCTCTGCATGAGTTTTTACTTGCTATTTACATTCATAAACATGTATGGATAGGATTTTCCATACTTTGCCTTGCAGCCAACGGGAGGTCAGCAGGTGCTCCTGTGCTCACCAGATGGCTCTGCTGCGTCACAGGGACGGTGCCAGGGGGATAGTAAGCGATATGGTGCCCTCTAGCGGGAGGATTCAGTAATTGTCTTCAGGTTTTTCAACTTCATGTTAAATAAATGAGTTACATCTACCGTAGATTAGCTCAACACTGGGAGACAGCAACTAGAATTTACTGCGTAAGTTTAATTGATAAAAATAATAAGATTACAAACAGCCAGGATATTATCATTTACACATGAAGTAAACGCAACAATATCAGTCTATGACTTTACAGGAACTAACTAAGGAAAAGCTAAGACACAACTGGTCACAAAAATCAGATTGGTTCTAATATAATTATGTAGAGTTTTTATTTCCTTTGGCAACAGCTAAAAAATGTGGAATAGTAACAGTATAAAAGAAATAGCAAAAAAAATAATAGGCTTTTCAGAGAAACAAATATTGGCACACAACTTGATTAAAGTTCATCCACTACTATTTCACAACTAACATAAAACCTGTTTCACAATCTGTAATCTGAGATATTTATCCACTGGTTTTAAAATGCCATTGTTGTGCATCTTTAGGTTAAAAAAAAATCAAATTTCCGTAAATGTCCACACCACTATATTTCGAATAAAGCTACTCACATGCAGGCATTTTTCAGTTCCCTAAAGCACCACAAATCATGTCTAGAAATCTGCATATAAAATGTACCAGATAGTTTCACACAAATTTTAAACTCAGTTATAGTCTTGGAATGATTTAGAAGCCCAGAAAACATTATTCCACCATTTCGAAACAGCTTTTATGGAGAAGCTGATATGCTGTGATTATCGTTTGCTGGTTCTCCGGCATTTCTGCAAAGAACAAACAAGACAAATTGAAAAAAATCTTTAAATGACGGCATGTTGTTACAATTCAGGGACGCTTATCTTTCAGGAATTTACCTGCTGTCCTTTGAGGGACCTGCTGTAAAAGTCACTTTCCTTTGACTGGCATCCTCTCTGACCTGGCATAGGGAGAGTACACAATAGTTACGACCGAGCTTTTTCTTTTTCAATAACTAGAAAGAAATGTCAGACTAGAGAATCCTGCTTGATCAAAACTCAGCCCCTGGAATTTGATTATAACAACTTCAACCAGAGGATTAATTCCCCACCAGTGCACCTGGGACTGGAGCAACAAAGAAGGCATGCAAACACTACCCCCACACTCTGAGATCAGTTCTCAAAGACTCACTTGATGTGTGTTTAGCAGTGCTGATTTTATCTGCAGGGAGAGATGAGATGCACAGACATTTGCAATATTCAGTTTGTACCCTCCTCTGTCTGTTTAGCCCACACAGCCCGGATGGCAGACTATTTACCATAAACACTGTCGGTGTCCTCTATGTCACAGGGAAAACTGGCTCTCCGGTAATTCAGCTTCTCCTGTAACAACGAAGAACCATGCTTTTAAAAAATGTATCAATTAATAAAACTTTCATTTGTTTTTATTACATTTTCAAGTCCCACATTGAAAGTAGTGAAAGAGAGGATTTCATTAAGAAACTAAACTTTTTTTTTTGCTGTGCTTGTCTCTGTCCTGAATGAAATACTTTTCAAGTTTTGTTTTACATAATTAAAATCTTATTCTGACTCATCAGAGATGGGGAGACACAGATGAAAAGAAATACATCAATACTGTTTGGCAGTAAGATATGATATGGTGGCAGTGAGCCAACGTGAACAGAAACAAGAGCATGAAACCAAAATGAAAATCCCCTCTCAGGCATTAAATCAATTCCAGCTGCAACATTTTAAAATCTGAACAAGGCCTGATAAAAAGAGTCGTCACTTGAGTGTACATCAATATTCATATCTGATTTAATCCACTTTGGTGGTTTGTTTCCATTGAGTTGTATTTTCCCTGTTCTTTCCCTGCCTTTGACAAAAGTCCTTATTCTCTCTTCCGGCCAGCAGAGGTCCTCAGCGGTTCCTGTGGTTCCACAGTTGCATGATAATAACTCTTCTTTCTGTCTTTTGATCAAGTGAAAGTCACTTTAGCCTCAGCAGTGTGGTTTTTGCTTTCATTCTGGTCAACCCAATGTTTGAAAGAGTTTTCACAGATTAGAGATCTACATACTGATGCCATATTTAAAGATGGATGACTGACTCTTGACACTTAATTGAGGGTATTTAGTGACTACTTTGTAACATTTTGCTGCAGGCTCTTAAAAACTGAATTATATATTTTTTGTTTAGTTTAGAAAGTGTTTTATTTGAATGAAACATCCAGGATGTCTGAAGGCAATAGCAATTTATCTTTTTCATTGAAGTAGCACTTTTTCTTATTATAAGCATGGTCCCCTTTAAATTCAGAGTATGCAAACACCCCACCTCCTCCTTGGGCTTCAGAAGCCTCTGACAGCCGCTGAAGTTCTCAGCCCTGTCCACAGTGAGAAAAGCTGCCTTCGCCCTCTTCTCGATCTCAATGAGCCCATGAAGCCCTTGCATTTGGTTTGGTACGAAGGTGTCATAGGTGGAAGAGAAGCTGCTTTTCTGTTCACGTGCTGCAGGGCAGACAAAGCTTGGTCAGAGGGAGCTGATCTGATTTTTTTAATTCAGGTGTGACTCTTTCACATTGTGCAGAGTGTAAATGAATTACAGTTTCAAAGCTCAGGGGAACACATTTTTCAGCCTAAATAGTTTCATCATTTTGAAATTTTTAATAATTTGTTATACAACTGCTGTGCTGTCGGTGAATGCACAAAAGTGATGGAATCTTCCAGTTGAAACCCCTGTAACCTCTGTCCAGCTCTCACCTTGTTTTGTGGGAAGTGAATACAGATCAGACTCTCCCTGTTGTGTCTTCTTCTTTTGAAACACTGTGAACAGATAAATGTATCATTATCACAACAAAAATTCAAGCATTTATCCAACACAACCACAACCTGACTGTAAAGAGCCATAAAAGAAGGATTGGCTTTGCTCCTGTATTAAGGTAATTCTACCACAAGATGGCACTTTAACATGGCTTAAAAACATCCTTCTGAAGAACTCACAGGGCTACCGTGGAAAGCCGGTACAAAAACCTTACAGCATTTGAGAAAATCAAAAATGGTAGCATCTGGTATGCATAAGTGGGTATGGATAAAAGTTGGACTTGTGCTCTATCCTGGATCAAATTAGACACCATGAATGATGCATTTGGTTTAGTACTGAGCTCTCAGTTGAAAGGCTACACTGTTTAACTGTCAGAGGTGGAGGGTTTGTGGTTATGAGACCAAAACTGAATGCAGAGTGAACATCCACACCCTGGAAGATAATCCCACCTCTGAAAACATCTCCTGTGACACCCCCTGTTTTCCGTTTGACACTCAAGCACACTCTCTGATCCTCTACTCCTCGTCAGACGAGATCGTCCTCCAAGCTTCCTTCAGAAAATGGATGAACTGCTCTGTTCTTTGTATAGTTTACATGCCATCTTATCCCCGCTAAATGTCCAAATTTTAATTCATATTTCAGCTTGTTGGACTTAATGAGATGGAGACATTGCTACGAAAGGGAGAGGAGAATCCTCATCATTTCTACTTTTGTACAGTTCTCCAAACACTAGCTCCTCACCTAATCCCCCGGCAAGCCTCATCTCACCTCTAACATCTCTCCGTGGTGGTGAGAGTGAGGAGTAAAATGTGATCCGTGTGTGGTTTGAAGCTCCACTGTCTCAGTAGATGGAAACCTCGTCTTTCCCTTGTACACACTTGGGACAAGGACGATGGAAAACATGTGTAATGACTTATTCTGGCTGACTTGGCCTTGGTCTGGCCAAGATTGGTTGCAGATGGCAGCCTAGTCATTCCCTCTATTACTGAGGGGATGGTTGGGAGACGGATAATTCTTTGGGGCACTCAATTTCTTGCTTTCCTTTGTAAGTGCCTTTGGGAAGAGGATTGGCTGCTTATACACAAGCAAGCTTTATATTATAAGACTGAAAAATGGAGTCTGCTCAGCAGTTACCATGGCATTCACGTGTTTTGAAGGAGATTAATGGTGAGGGCCAGGCGTAATATTGCTCATGCTATTCAAGTATTAATTGTGGAAGCATTTGCTCACGTGTGCATTTCAAAATAAAACAGAAATCACAGCTGTTTTAAAGATTTATGAACCTTAGCAATACCATTGACTTTCGAATGTTTCATGCTCATGAAATATTCAGCCAGCTGAAATTGAACAGTTCGATTATGGGCTGTCGATGCAGCCGAACGTGTCTGCCTGCTGCCTCGCTGCCGTTTGTTCTGCAACAGGGAGCGACTATGTGTTCTTGTGGTTTGAGGAATCACAACAAACGGCACCGTATGAAACGCTCTTTGCTCTGTTCAGCAGCACTCCACTGACAATGGCACTTCCTCCCTCCCACATGAACCCCCCCCTTCACATAGTGTGCATATCTCATATTTGTTTTTACTCATGAAGCATCTTTCTTGTGTCTAGGTGTAGAGAAACTGGAGAAAATATGGATAAGAGGAGTTACCTTGGGCAATATAGGGGGTTTTGCTCTCTTTTACCGAGATGCCCTCAGGGCGGGGAGTAGGGGCCGGTGGGCGATTGGCGAGATCCATCGCTTTTGCTGGTTTCAGGAAGCTTCCATGTTCATCTTTCACCTGCAGTGGTGCGTAGAGATCCTCATCCTCCCCCTCTTTGCCCTCACCATGCTGCTGTTTCCATTCACCGGCTGTGGAAAGAGTCCCTAATACACAGTGTTTACTGCATTACTGCTTCATTCTCGTGCCGTATGTGTGTGTGTTTGTGTGTGTGCTGGTCATTGTCATTTTAGAGATGATAGGAAGCAATGCTACTCGATGTCCCCATCAGCAAAGAGGAACTACTCAGTGGTCGGAAATGAACCAGCACAATGATATGCTGGGGACAAAAGCAAACAAGCTGTCCTTTGTCCTCCCTCCCATCAGTCCCACACTCACCTGCGTTGCACATCATTTCGTACACATCAGAATCGCCATTGTCCTCGGCTGAGTTGAACATTTTCTGTAACAACAGAGATAGGGAGATGTAATTCATACCCCACTCAAATCACAAAGAACCAGCTTGAGCGAAACCGTTTGTTATCATTGAAGTTGAAGCTGATTTTTTTTCTTTGTGAGATTGGCTGTTTTTTTTAAGGCTATTGACAAATCTCACAAAGGAGGTTTATGATTTTATTAGATATCTTATTATTTTGTTTACTGCTCATCTAGCCCCCCACTGAGAGAAGGATAGTTATTTATAAATAATTTAAAAATTCATCTACTTACTCCCATTTTATATATCTTTTCTAGTAAAAAAGTTTTTTAAAAAAACACCTGGATATATGCCTACATCTTCTTCAAGATTAGATTAGAGCTGTGAATATATGGTTAATTTATAATATATTATTATGTGACCCTACTCACATCAACACCTACCATGAACACTTATAAAAATTCATCTATAATCTTTTACCCACAAATAGAGGTAAAGTAACAGTGGAGACTTTTTCATTGCTTCACCACAGTGTTAAAAAGGCTGATTTAAAAGGTTATTTTATTTACATTTGATTTTTCATTTTATTGGGCTGCTATATTTGTCGCTGTTTTCATATCAGCTTTGAAATGGTGAGCAAAGAATGATCACTTTCTGAAAAGTGATTTCACAGCTCCAAAATGAATTGAGGAGGTGTGCTGTTGGCTGCTGGCTAACAGAGCAGTTTTCCTTTAGCAACAGAGCTGCTGCAGAGACGGCCTATTTGTTAATTGCATGCTGAGAGACAGACAGGGGTATGATCAGGGTAATTATGAAATCAGACAATCTTCCCCTTTCAGTCCAAACATCTCATTTAGCAAGTGACTCAAAACCTTTTACGTGATGCCAGACTGTAACCATAATTGGAATCAGATATTTGATTATTATTTACTGCCACATTTCGGCTTTTGATGGAGTAGTGAAGCACAATAGAGTTGAATCATTGACAGACTTGCAGCAAGACAACAAAAACAAAATCAGGCTATGTAGAAATAAATAACTTTAAACATGCAAGTGTAAGGTCATTTCTAGAGAGTTTCTAATTTATATTACTTGAAATAAAAATTTTGTATACATGTCTGCTAATCTGTATGTTAGTATCACATATGCAGATTGTGATTCATTTGAGACCATCGCAAAACGTATAATCATACATACAATTATATCTTGATCTTTTTATATCTGTTGAAGATACATTGACAATAAGGTATCAGAAATCTACCTAAATCTGTAGAATGTATAAGACGTAGCCCTCTTGGATCAGAGAATCACCACACAGCCAGCTCTGCACTGTCTGCCGTTTCCAGGCAACGCAGCCAATCATGACTCAATTACAATATTGCACTGTTCCTAGAACTGCAAATTAAGTATTGGCTACCACGAATGCATTAACTGACAGTAGATATTCGTTGCAGACCCAACAGGTTGAATGAGCACATATTCACGACTGTTTGAACGTGGAATTTGTAATGGTCAGCTGCTGTACTTCTATTCAGTGTAGTGTTTTCAGAGGTAAAACCTGGATGGGGGAGGGGGATTTATTTACAAACCGAAAATGTTAAATCATTTTACAGATGTCTGCATCTGCAGGGGCCTTAGGCATCACAGTCAAATTCGGTTTCATAGCTGTGATCCAAGAAGCAGCATTTCTGACACAGCAGCAGCTTGACTCTGTCGAACAAAGGAGAAACCTTGAGTATCTGTAAAAGCTGTTGGATAAGGAAAGTAAATCTGTTTTCAGCTGCTAAAATGATCAATAACAGGCGTGTCGTTACTCTTAGCAGAATGACATCTATTAACACAGAGGTGTCAGGAAGCTTGTTCAATGCGTGGCAACCTACATGCTGTAACACTGAGATTATCACACACAGCAGTGAGATCCATTCAGATTCTCTTCAGGCTTTTGCATAATTCATTTGGCTAATTCAAAGTGTTATGAGTGTTCTTTGACAAATCTTATTATTTTTTTTACTGGAAAGGTGAATAAACATCTAATTTAATAATTTGCAAATGTCATAAACCCATTTTTCATTCAAGATAAAAAAAAATCAAAACAAAGCAAATGCAGAAACGAGACATTTTACTCTTTCACGCATTAAAGTGGACAGGATTCTGTAAAGGAAATCACTGCATGTGCTCACTTCCAAACATTACCTCTGATAGCAGGTCAAACTTTTATCATGCAAAGGAGCCAAAAGTACACATGATCTAGGAAAGGGCTCATGAGTATGGAATTGGCAAGATTTTATACATCGGTACACAGGTTGCCGAAATGAATTGCACAATCCCTTTTATGATTTAACAGAAAACTATATACAAATTCACGCATGTATTGTGTAGCACAGGCAGACTTTCAGCCTGTCAGACTCAACATGATACACTTTGAGCTGAATGCAAATTGCAGCCTGCCCACACGTTACATCTTTGCCATGCCAACAAATATGTTCAAACTTGACAATGGTAACATTTGCTAAACTGCCTTGACAACCAAGTGCAACTGAGCCATACCGATCAGCAATTTAATGGAGCTAGTTGTAAATTCAAGGGTTCTGTGCATCTATTGAATTCATAATCCAGAAATCATGACTGCCCAACTGTGGGTGTAGCTTTTTGTACTTTGATTTGGATTTTGTGCTTCTGGGTTTTGCTAAGCTTGCTGATAAATTAAGTCCATGTCATGTCTAAAATCTTCATAGAAAATCACTTTTATGTTTCCCTATGCCAAATTCTCATCTGTTTTTAACAAAAAGTCAGCATCTGAGGGATGAAAACAGTTTCCTCATACAGTGGAGTGATGACGGTATCATTCAAATTCTAAACAAATCTCCCGTTACCCCCACCTCGACTCTTCATTTTATGGCCAAACAAACACGATATGCAAAATGAGGTCACTGTATTTAACAATTTCCCGGAATGAAGTCTCCAATGTCACCTCGTTTGGCTTTCCTGAATTTGGATAGTGTTCTACTTTTACAGGCGTGTTAGACACACTGGTTCTTTGTCTTTTTAGACCTTACAGTTGCAAGCTCATTTGTATATATCACTCCACATCCAAGAGCATGTACTGAACTGGTCCATCTGATTACAAAGCAACACCCAGTCAAGGTTATGTCCAAGTCTTTAGCTATCAAATAAGGATCTTGTGTGCTTAGGATGTGCATAAACATTGTAGAAAGCGGCACAACATTTTTCTATATTTTTATTCTGGTAATGTTCGCTGAATAATTTAGCTTTCCCCACCAGAGCAGTTCCCAGCTAATTAAGGATGAAGTGTGATGCCAGGGCAGACTAGGGGATCTGACACAGGGCCTGTGAGTGATTCAGCCTGTGTATCAGGCAGGGGACTTATTCGTTTTGGATTTATTGACAGAGTGCTGCTATTCCAACATCCAAATCACTGATGCATCGTGGGCTGATTAATTGGAGGTTGGGGGAAACACTGCAGATTAGTTAATGAAAGTGAAGAACCTCATCACACACACTCTCAGGATTTCTCCATCATGCTCCACAGCTGTAGACTGTAGGCTTGAGCTGACAAGATGAGCTTGAATTCCCTTTAAGGAAACCCACACAGATATGTCAGGTGCATATGCGTGTCAAATTTGTCTGTTGTGTTAAATCTATAGGCTTGTTGAGGATCCCTGTGGAGGTGGAGAGACCTCTGTTTGACACTGCTGCTCCCCTGTCAGTTTATTCCAGGCTTCCAACAAGCACTCACTGACACAGTCTGAACAAACCATGCCCTGTCTGCAGTCACTCTCAATTAGCAGTGTTGCTAGGAGGATAAGTACAGTGCAACAGCTGCTGGACTTTCTAAATTTCCCAAGAGGCCAAACTCTCCCAAGGCTCACCCCGAGCATCAAAGTTAAATGATGATGGTGATAAAAAGACGGTGGATAGAAGCAGCGATAGCTTTAGCATGACATGTTTTTCAGTTATACAGCAGTGACTGGATAGCTGGCTTTAAGGGATTATCCCCAAAATGACAAAGACATACATACATTTTGATTTTATTTTTGCATTTTCTGTACAGATATATCATACCTTATGTTCAAAGTGACACATTTGATTATTTTGTGTGATGAAAAGGGACGTGCTTTATTGATTAGTAAGTGATGCCAGCTACGTTTCTTGAAAGTTGGAGCTTTTAAATCTGATATTTTTTCTCACTCTTTACTCCTGACAATAGAATCTCTTTCCTGTTTGTTCACACTTTAGTTCATGTATGTCTAATTTTGAGAAACAGGTCTGATCTGTATTTCTGTAGTGGCTCTGGTGTCTATCTACAGAGCCATGTCACTGGTTTACCTGTACTCTTTTGAATGGTCCTTTTCCCTCATGGCCTGCCATGGGGGATACAGCATTTGGGAATTCCAAAAGATTTTCAAATTTTTATGCAGTTTGCCCTTTTCACCTCAGAACAACATGTACAGTACGATGTCTCCGACCGACAGACCAACGGTGGTATTCTAGGCTCACTTTGTATTTAGGGATACCAGGACAAACAGTGTGTGATAGTGTTGGGGTACAATTACCAGTGCTGCATGCAGGGTTTTTTTCTCATTAAGATAGTGATGCTCTTTTGAATCAGTGCTCTTACTGACCTGTCGCCAATTAACATAATTGGTTGTAGGATGTTCAATTTGTCTAACACGGCTGAGCTTCTTTTGTTTTCCCAAAGCACTTTTTATCTCCCTCATTCCATCTTTTGTGTGTGTGTACTTTTGTGGTTGAAATTTATAAAAGGGGAATGTATTTTTCAGAAAAGAAGCAACATGTAAAACCTATCATTTTTGTCAGTCTGAACCATTTTTGAATAGAGAAATGTCTCTTTCTTTGTAGAATGAACTTTCTGGCTCTTTGAGCACCTCGGGATCATTTGCCTCCAGTTTCACATTTGAGTTTGATATGTCAGTGTCTCCAATATCGATAATTTCAAATCCTGCAATTCAGATCAAAATGCCACGTCTGACCAAACCTGAATTCTTTCTGGAGCACAAAAACTCACAAATACTTACAGACAGAAGCTCATTAAAAGAAATGTCAAAGAATGAAAGTTTGTTTCTCTGGTCATTCGTCTCACAAAAAATACAGTATTTTCATGCTGTCTGCAAGGATTTCTCATTTTTATGATCAGGAATGATATTGTTCTCTTTACCTAATGAAATCTGCATTGGAAAGAACAATATCAAAGAAAGAGACATCCTTGCATACATAGGGACTATTAAATCAAAATGGCCTCTCATTAGAGGATGAGTGGTAAGCGTGCTGCTTCAGCATTGGTGTATGTTTTCAGTCAAATTGGCTGCTCAATCTTTAGATTAATGGGAGAAAATTCTTGACATTATTCAAAGAAATATCCTCAATAGTGGCTCCATTCATTGTCTGAATGAATGCAGATGACTTGTGCAGGGAGCCATTGTGCATGCATGAACAAACAACCTGCATAGTCTCTGTGGGGGTGCTCCATAAGAAGACCAGCTGGCCAAACCTCCTTTCTAATGAGAGGAAAAGAGCTATGGTTTATCCTCATAGAAGTGTAAAAATCTGAGTCAGAAGGAAGTAAGGTGTATTCTGACACACACATTGCTCTTTTACCCTTCGATATTTCTATCATCTCTGCTGTTTCCAAATAAAAAGCCACTCACTAACAGACCTAAAAGCATTTCTGGGTCTCCAGTGTTTGGTTGCATTCAGACAATTCCTTTCACCTCAAACAGAGGAACAGTCCAGAAATGCATAAATACAGCTAATGTGGAAACAATTACCATTGTCTCTTCCAATAAGGTGTGTAGCTCCATATGGCCGTGACTCCTGGCAATCTCAGCTGGAGACTGGCCGTGGCGATTGGCTGTGCGCAGGGCATGTTCGGCACCAGGACACTGCAGAAGGAGGCCGGAGAGACTTCGGAATCCATACTGAGCAGTGAAGTGGAGAAGCGAGGGTACGTCTGCATGGTGGCGTTCTGTTGAGGATATTTGCTCATTTTATCAAGGCGAGACAAAACCTATTTTAATTAGTCAAGTGCAAATGAGCATCTGTGTTCCTCCACAACCCAATTTTAACCTCCTGCTCGAGTGAGAACCTCCTGGTAAGGTTAAGGAAAGAAGGTAATCGAAGACATCTCAGAGCAACGAAAAAGAGACCGCTTGGAGGCACTTATTGACCTGTTTGTCGTGGCAACCACCCCAGTCTGTTCATTGTAGCAGAGCTTTGGATCAATTTCAGAAACTGATAAGCCGTCATTCTGACATGTTCTTTTCATGATGTGTATTATTCATCATGCAAGAAAAAAACCAATGAATCCCAACATCTTTAGTTCTGCTCATTATACCCTTTTGAATCGCAAGGAGAGATTGAACTGAATGGACATCCTGCTCTGTCATCATATGTATTATACATATATTTAGGCGATTTTCCATTATGAGCAAATAATTTATAACCAATACCCTGACAACAGAGTCTAAGATAATAAAAGCCTGAATGATATTTGAATGAAGGCTCCAGCAGGTTGGAATTTTTCTCTATGTTCAGAGTTGAGAGTTCTCTACCTCTTTCATGTGTGGTTTCACTCTTCAGTCCCTGAAAACCTCCTGTGGGCATGCCCTCCAGCAGCATGGAGGACAACTTCTGATCCAGCTTGTCCATAGAGGAAACCTGAAGAGCCTTCATACGAGAGGGACTTAAAGTAAGTACAGCACAAAGTAGAATGTGATGCAGAGAAGCAACAATAGTGGTAGTGATATTGGAAATATATATGGGCACACAATAAAATTGTCATCTTTAAATGTACCATTCACACATCTCAAACCTCTGTCCTTATCTTTGGTTTATAAAATGTATTGGAAAATTCTTCCTCTTGCTCTGCTTAAATGTGCAAAACTGACCCAAATCAAATCAAATTGTTGTCACTGGAAGTTGGAAGATATATGCTATTCCTTTAGTATAAAACAGGAGAAAATAAACATTGCTTCTAAACTTGAACAGAAATATTCTGATTCAATGCCATTTTACTAAAGCTTTTGAATTGCTTGAAATTCACTGAAGGAGTAATGTATTAATTTCTAACTATCCATAATAGGTTTAGAGTAATTAGGAAGAGAGAAAAACTACAGCATCTTTCAAACAGTTCACCAGACCAATGGTCAATTGAATATGTCGGCTATGCTGAGAGGCATTACAATCTTTTTACAACATAGATCCTATCAAGAAAACAAATCACAAATGTACAACCTGTGAATGCATTCCATGGAAAGATTTAGTTATATTGGAATTCCAAACACTTTCTTTAGTTTTATTGTATTAATCAATTTCCTATTCTGCTACCAGAAAGTTGCAAAGGTGCAAAGAATAAACAGTTAAAAAAGTATAGACAGCAGATTGTAAGTTGTTCTGACTCCTATTGTCTGTTGCAGGTCATGCTGATCAAACACTAAATACATTACACAAAAACCATCAATATTCAGTGCATCAGTTAAAGTTATTTTCTCTGCTCAATGAAAACTCAGAAAACCCAGAATAAATCTGACCTTTGCAGGAAAGGATTTCCTTTCTGTTAAACTCTGTGACAGAATGAAATATAACTTTTCCTTGAACTAAGAAACCCCTTTGAAGTCTTTACCTGACACATGAACTCTACAGGTTCTGCCACCTTTGACAGAAGGCAAGCAAGTTCCTCCACGCACGTGTAGTACTGCAAGGTTGTGTTGCTCAGTGGTTTCCCACCATTATAGACAGTCACCTGCACATTCCCTGCTGGAAAATCTGTAATTGCAAATAATGAATAAACTGAACCTAAACAGAAAGTACCTCATCAACCATGTATTTATCATATTATAGTAATAATTTTGTTCACCTGGTGCCCTGACACAGAGGATCCGCTCATTCCAGAGGACCGACCTCTCTCTTATGCTCTTATTGTCAACACTGAACTCAACCTCACAGTCGCAGCACGCCGCTTCATCTTTCAAAAGAACAAACACATCTGTGGAGCTCTGCCAAAGACACAGCACAGAGAACCGTTGTCTTGTTGTGGATGTTTTATGAATTAACAAATTGGGTTGAAAGAGGACTGTGTCTCACCCCACAGGGAATCCTTGAGGGAATGACCACAACGTTAGCTCTGTCCCTTTCAGCTGTAGAGGAATGCCCTGGCAGAGCCTTTTCCTGTGATTCCATTGGTTTCTGTGTCGGTGGCTTGACATTTGACCCTGTTGCCAATGCACCTGTAAAAGATAGTTACAATGTCGTAGGCATCAGTCACTTCAAAACGTGCCTTGTTTTCAGCATACTGGCTTGATTTAAATCAGACATTGTAGCACTGCAAACATAACAGGTGTTGTCAAAAACTCTGTGTAAACTTTTACTCCAGAGAAGTTCTGATCCAGTATTGTTTCCTGCTACAAGCTATTCCAGCTATCACAAAGCCCAACAAAGGATTCCTCAAAAAAGTGTAGTCACTCAGGCATTTTGAGGTACAATTGTTTGTGTGGATATTTTTTGAAAAAGTTTTTAAGTTTCTTTAAGAATTTAGGATTTAAGTTGAACTAACAATCTGTATTTTAATGTTTAACATTGTGCTTGCATTGTAGCATTCAGGTGTTAGCCCAGCATTACTCATATAAGCTTGATAGATTAACTGGTCAATAAAGGCTCTTTTCTTTCGTTTAAAAGTCTACAGATTCTAGTTACTGTTGGAGATATTTTGCTTTATACAACTGCTGCAGTAACCATTCACAAAGCACATGCTCTTTACTCTTTAAAATCACACGTTATTTTTGTCATTTTAACAAATGGAGCTTCATGAGTAATTGACATATTTCTGGGGTAAAATATAACTGTTCATTGGTAGCTAGTCTGAACTGTTTCACAGTAGCAGTGTTATAAAGGGATGTAGAGTGCTTCCACATTTGCATGACTCGCAATGAGTAATCACTGGTGACTAAATTTGCATGAAATGTTCCTCTTGCTCATGCACCTGTTTAAACACAACCCTATGGCTCTTACTTTTGGATTCCAAACAAATAGTGCAATTAGGAAAACCGAGGAAGGACTCTGAGGATAATTGGCAGGGCACAAGAGAAAATGGTAGACACATAGACAGTTCCACTGAAAATGTCTCTGCAGGTGCATGAAACATAAATGCCATGAAGAAATGGTCAACAAATGAGGTTTCTTTGCTAACTTATTTGGTTGGGAACAGAAAAGCCACTGAAAAATATCCAGAGCGAAGGTCAGACTGACGATTCTTATTCATATAAATATATATATATATATATATATATATTCATAAACATCTTTTCCCACAAATAATTTGCCTTTGGTTTAAATGTGCTGAAGCTCTTCCAGACACAGAGGCTCCCTGTATGTAAAATACATGACCAATCCTACACATGCTAAACTGGCAAACAAAATCTAAAATATTTGAATGTATTTCTTGAGAGAATGCTTGGTTTTAAATATATATGACACAACATCAATTCAGATAAAACAGCACTTTAGGGATAAAAACTTTACTGCTGATTGTCACATACTGTCCCATCTTTCTTGCCCCTGTGATTGGACCATCTAGTATTCAAGATTCTCAAAATGTATGTGGCTACTAGTCCAATGCAGGGCCTGTACTTTTCATACCAAAAGGCAGTTTGAGAATATTTCCAAAATGTCTACAGCGATTTTGGAAGGATTAAAAAAATGAAAGGAAAATATATCAAAGGCAGTGCAATACCTTTCCCCACAATCTCAGCCACAGCAGACAGATACTCGGGAGCCTCTTGTTCACTGGAGATCTGCAGGCACTCGTTCCCGTTCAGGGGGATCACCTCCAACAGAGGGGTCAGGCTGTCCACCCCGCACAGCAGTACCACGACATTAGCTGAAGGATTCAACACACGGGAAAGGAAGAAGCGTCGCAACTGGCAGAGCCCCTCCAGCATGCCCTTGGAAAAGATCAGAAGCTTGCACGTGTAGCGGGACATTCTGATAAAGTCCTCCCTGCGACTGGACAATGTACCAACATCATAGCAGCAGATCCCTGCCTCTGAGATTGGGCCAGTGAAAACTGACTGTAGGTAGGTAGCCCATTGCTTTGCCTCTGTCTCGTAGATGATAAGCAGATCTTCACCTATATGGAAGTTATTTGATAAAAAGTTAGCAAATATGAGTAAAACAATCAATCAAATATGATCAATAGTCAAGATAACAACACATTTCCTCTACCTTCCCCTGGTATATAACACAGACTTATTACACATTATTCTAACTTCATTTTGGGCTGAACCACAGATAATAGTAGATAGGTAGTCTAAATTATACATTTAAAGCAAAAACAGTTAAAGGCAAATATGTTCAGTAAGAAGTTGACAAATTAATAATATTACAATGTTACTCACTTGTCTCGCTCATTTCTAAAATGCTGTGCTTGTTGTCAGCTCCCGCTTTACAGTAACATGAAAAACAGCAGGGCTATTGTTGGGATGAGCTCAGATAAGAGGGTGTTTCCGCTTATGTAGAAGTGGGCGAAATAGGATTTTTTTTTTTTTTTATCAGAAGTCTGTGATCTCATCTAGTGACAGTTGAATGTTTCATGTTCTAAGAGAAGCAGTTAAATAACAATCATTTAGTTGTGCTTTGTGAGATGGAAAAATCCCACCTGACCATGGGGTTGTCCAGCTTTTTGTCATTCTTACATCAGGGCAAGCAACAATGTGGGCATGAAATTGGTTGCCTTTCAATAAGAAGTTTGATGAGTAAAATATTTTCAAAGGTTTACATCTCCGTTATCTTGAGAAGGGCAGTTTGATGAAAAGGAAGTCTGTATGTGTACAGCTATCTTGAAAAAGGAACTTGCATGTTTCCTCAATATATTACTGAATATATTTTGTTTAATAAAACATCCTTCAACTGTTTAACTATTTTTTTATCTGAAGCTGAGAAATCTCACATCTTTATCACAGTTAAACTATTATTATATTACCTTGTTTTTTATGAAAACAAAGTATGTTGGTCTGTAAGCAAATAAAGAAAATGGCAAACATGAAAGGTGATTGTCAAGCAGACAACAGGTGACCTGAAAATGATGAACCTGATTCACGGTCTTGACCGGAGTTTAATTAAGTCTGTCTGTGAAGCAGAGCACTGGAACCTGAGGCGTGCTAGAACTAATGATCTGGTGTGAATGTCTCCACTGCAGGCAAAGATGAAACGGGTGTTCTGACCTGCCACGCTCACAGCCCCTCTCACAAAGAGAAATGAAAAACTCTGAGCTTCATTAATTGCCTCCACCTGCCCAACAACTGGCTCCTACCACACAAGTGTATTCCCTAATAGCGGTTTGCCTCTGTTTGCTTTTTGTTAAAACGTACAAATGTTAAGTTAAAAAAAAACACAGCAAGTGCAAGTTGCGGTCTCCTTCATGCAGATCGCGGGTATGTGGTGTCAGATGTTGCTCCCATGCATGCAGATTCACACTCTTCCAGCTACTCATCATTTCAGGCTGATTCTAAAACCAATTAGAGATGAATCCTTTGCATCTGTGATGCTTTCAACTGAAACACACCTCGAGTGGGGTACAAACTATTGAAGGATCCATAGCCTGTCACAAAAAAGAGGGTAAACATTGCCAAAACTAAATATTGATAGAGGGTGAAGCTGCAAACCCTGTCCTGTGGGTGGTGCCAATTGAAAGGACATAGACTTCCTGAAAATAAAATGGTTTATCTACATGGAACCATGAATATTCCCTGTAAATGTTTCCCTGTTGGATTGAGAATGAGGTATACAGTGGTTAGCATTGTTGTTTAGTGCTTAGTTATGCACTGAAGTATAATTGGCAAATGTTTTTTTTCTCAATCACATGATTTTCAAGTCTTTTTTTCCTTTTTTTAGTCGTCATTAAAAAGTATTTAGGTTTTCTATCTAATCTAAATTATGATCTAGAAATTAAAACAGTTTTACTTGAGGGTAACTGTCTCATTATGTTTTATGTAATCAAAATCTAGAATTTCATTTCAGATTGTCGAAGTCTAAACGTGATAAGATTTATTACCTACACTAATTTCTTTATATTTTGTCAGAAAAACGTGACATAGGTAGAATAAGTGATCAAAATGCCAAACCCAAATTCAATATACAATCAGAACTTGTACTTAAGATTTATTATTTGAACCCTCTTAGACAATCTTTCTTTGAGTTGTCCTATGGAACTGACTTCAGGTTCCCTGAAGGACATTTGAAAGCTTTACTTTTGATACTGTCTGTCTTCTGGTCTGTTCTCATAAAAGATGATACCACACTGTTTCAACAGTTTTTTGAGGATTCGGTTTGGAGACTTTGATTATTTGGTACTATACTGTCTTTTCTTCTTGTTTTCTCTTCCATAACAACAGCATTAAGGAATCACTTACAAGTTTGGTTGTGTCTGGAAAACTGTGTTAAATAAAACAAACCTCTGAAAATGGCCAGATACAAGTTCTGGACTGGAAAGGATTCCAAAAGGAAATGCAGTTCAAAGAAAAAAAAAGTGTCTTAAGAAATCCTTGTGAAAACAAGGCCATTCTACAGCTAAACGTGAAGAAAATACTGTGAATCAAGACCATGGCACGAAGTGTATGTTTTAATCCATCTTCAGCTATTACTAGGCACAGGCTTCCATTGTGAAATGCTAAAAAAGGCAGAGTGATGCCTCAGTCCTCTTAAAGCTAATATTACACATATAATATACACACACTTTATCCAACAAATGTTGGCTTGTTTATGAACTATTTTAAACTAATCATTAATTGATTTATGAGGGCTTTTCTTGCTTCAGATTCGTTGAAAGTTTATTACAGGTTATTCGCCTCAGCTGTAATAAAACAACATGAAATCAGCCCTTTGATAAATGTGAATATCAGGGGCTGAGGCCCCCACCAATTGGAAGAGCCGCTATTAGTGAGGGGGAGGGTCTTGTGAAAAATCATGTTAGACTGTGCACTGCGCTCAGACAACTTGATACAGAGTAACAGTAAATCAGACAGAGCAGCTCCCACAGCTCCAGCAGTGAAATTGTAACCCTGTTGCAAGTATTTTTGGCCGCTGATAGGACCGAGTGAGATCACTGCGGTCTCTTCTCCCGGATAGACTCAAGAGTTGTTCAGCAAGAGCAACGCAGGGACCGTTTTCACTCCCATTTCTGCTATATCTTAATTGTATATCACACTGGAAATGTCCGAAAACAAGCCGAATGACGAGCCGAAGTTATCTACGACGGACAGGGTGGTGAAATGTAAGTGTAATTTTATCATGTCACTCTCAAAACGAGCCGCAGGCACGGCTCTGTCTGACCGCCGGGAGCAGACCATGTACAATTCAGACCTGGACAATTGACGGCCGTCGCAGTGGCGGCGGCAGCAGAAAATTGTAGTCGGAAATTGTTTGCTGGCTTATGGAGGAAGAAGGGTGTTAGCCGAGCTGTGACAGCAGCTGTAAACTAGGAAGTGAGGGGTAACTCTCAAGCTTTCTAGACCAGAGCAAAAACGAAGCAGGAAAAAGCCTCGCACTGCCCTCATCCCAGACGCGGTCCGGCCGGCTGCCCGGCGGTGACCGCAGCAGACTCAGACCCGCTCACAGCCTCACATAAGCAGGCACACACTGCACAATCATCGCCAGCAGCACTGGAGGCGCTTTCCTCCTCCATGTGCACGCACCCCCAAACATTCTTTACTACTTTTCACAATATTACTCGAAATGGTGTATTTTGAAGTCGTGCCATTCTTCGTGTGCTTTGGGTGCTTCCATGCCACATGGGGTGTCCCTGACTGCCTTCTGTGTTTACAGGTCTAACATTCCACCTTTGCGGTCTACCATAAAAATGCAATAAAGATCATAATCGGATCGACCCACCTCCGAATAGGAGCAATGCAACCGGCCCTTTAATGTCTTTGACATCCCCCTAAAGGCTGTATTAAAAGCTATTTCTGTTTAAGGATATGAGCAACGAACGTGTCAGTGGAGGACAGATGCACTGCCTCTCTTCAGAGTGAGATGACACAGTGCCTTAACTCGTGCTTTTTGTGTTTGATCCAGCTCTGCACATCACAGCAGGCGTGTGCAGGGATCACAGTGTGCGAGAGCTCATAGGGGAATTACTGAGTGATTTATTATCTTTTCTGCATGCTAAGCTGTCGATAGAAATGATTAGATTATCTGTGATCATTAACCAGGATTTTGTACAGCATCAGTCCTCAATAGACCGTGACTTAACAACCAACTCTGCTCTGTACATCAAAGGCTGAACTCTTCATCCACATGTGCTGCTTATTAGCTTGTGACATTAGAAAGAGACAAGTCTTTTACAAAAATGAATCTGCAGAGTTCTCTATTTGTGTAGGAAAAAACATTTGTAGAGGGGTTACGTTTTACTTGGGGGGGGGGAAGTGAGTGTTGAAAGAGTAACGGCATGTCTTGGGTGCTTTTGTAATTAATCATTCAGGAGATCATACCATTACGGTCTCCACCAACTTGAAGGCTAATGAAAAATGGATATGACGGGGATGGGCTCCAAAGAGATTTAACAGGATCACTGGGTGACATGGCTGGTTATGTTTTACGGATCTTAAGCTACTTTTCTGGCGCTACAGGAGATGGCATCGAATTTCCATCGAATTGCACCGTTCTGTACTTGTAGCACCTCCCTGCTATACGTAAAGGTCTGCAAAAATCATAATTGGTTTGAAAGATTTCGTTTTGACATTCCAACGGCAGTGGGGCAATATGGGAGTCCAATATAAATGGGTTAGTTTTCAACCTAATTTTGAGATAGGGAAAGTAATTCAACTCATATTTCATTCATCCAGTTATGAGTGGCCTCTGTTTTGGTGATGCCTCAGTATTTTGACAACACAAACGTTGGCTGTGTACAAAGCACCTCTCCAGAATGTCTGCAGGCGATAGGTGCGAGCTGATCTGTTTTCAGCGTCCTGCTTTGCCATGCGGCAAGGTGTCACTCCCAACTTATCCAAAGTGCTTCGCATCCACCTATTCTGAAAAGGGCTTTATTATAATGTTCCTGAAAGCCACTTGCAGAACTAATCACTCACAAGATTTTAATCAATTGTGACCAGGGAAGTTGTCTGGATGCTCACACCCTCCACAAAACAAAACCCTTCACAGCTCTTCAGTTCAGTGGGCTGCATGACATCAGTCTCACTATTTGTCCGACCACTGTTAATAAATGATTCGGTTAAAAAAATGTCCTTGTTGTAATAATTAGCCTTTGTGTTTAAGGCTTTGTGTTTATTAATAATTGATTTTATGATTTTCTGTCATTCTGTCTGATGTTCTGAACTGGAAACACGTTCAAACAATACACCGTCATCAGTAAGTCACTTTAGAAAGACTAAATGTGTTGTCAGTTTATCTTTTTAAAGTGTAAGAATGTACTATTTTGTGACTCTTTTAGCCAAAGTAGTTCATATTTCAT